TTATTTTCTTGGCAATAATTTTTAATCCTTTGGAGTTCAGAATTTCTATTCACTTCCTCTGAGTTTATAGTTTGTATATTTGCTGAATTATTAAATTCAATAACCAAGCAGTCATTAGAAGTTATGAATATATTCTTAATGTTCTGAAGGCTTATAATTAAAGTTTCATGGTTATTTTCAGGTGATTGTTCCGGAGCCGGATTAGCAGGAATTTTTTGGTTATCATTCTCGTCTTTTATCAACTTAATACTTTTAACATTATTTTTTACTTCGGACGGATAATCTTTTCCTGGATTGGTTTTCGGAGAATTACCAGGATTTACTTTTACTGAATTATCATTTTGTTGATTTTGACAGAACTTGCAAATGTCTCCTTCATCAGTTCCCATTGCTGCATTACATATCTTTCCATTAGACCTTATTTTACCTCCTCGACATGGCTTAGAATGGGGTAGGCACAAGTCCATGCACTCGTAATAAGCCTTTTGAGAACAACCTGCAATTCGGCATTTGCCTTTTTGTATTTCGTTTCCAGCGGCCACGTAGCAATCTCTACTACAAAATGTTTTTTCATTTTTAGTGTTACCAAATTTAATTTTCGTAAACTTTCCGCAACTTTCGCAATAATAGTTGTAACTCTCAACTTTCTTAGATTCTTTTTTCGGTAAACTAGGTTTTTCTTCGTTAAAACACTCAACACTACAATAAGCCAATGCTCATTCTCCACTCGGATTATCACCAGTTTTTACACACGGAGCACTATAATAATTTCCATAAGTATCTTTTCCACATTTGACACACGGTGCACATTTATGACACACTTCCTCTCCATTTTTCCCTTTGAAAGGGGAAATTGCGTAAAACTTTCCTGCCATTTTATCATCACCAGTACACTTAAGTCATCTAAATTCAGGCTTTTTGTCACACTTACTACATTTAATAAATTTTTCGCTATAACTCATTTTATCTATTTCCTCTTGGGCGAAAAACCCTTTATAATTTTGGCTATAATTTTTGTGATTATAATTCATATTCTAATATTCTATTTTTTTCTTCTTTAATTTTTTGCCCATTTTTTTAAAACAGTAGGATTCTGTTTACTAGTTGCTTTTAGTAAATGTTCTAATTAGTGGCAATTAGCAAGAAATCTAATTAGAACATTTTTTTCTCTTTTTCTGGGAGAAAATCTTTACTAAGGAACACTCCCTTAGCAAAAAAAAAAAAAAAAAAACAGTCACTTTTTACTTTTCTTTTCCGGATAAAGTAAAGAGGGATAAATAAGAACCCTTCATTATTAATATTTTAAATATAGATAACTTTTGATTGATTATCTCAATATTTATTTTATAGTAATTTTTTAAATGATAGGTTGATATTGTTAACAGCCTTTATTTCCCTTTTTTTAATATGATTAGTCCTTTTTTAGGACCAGGAACTGATCCGCGAACGAAAATAATTTGTCTTTCTTTATCTATTTTTTCGATAATTGAAAGTTGGGTAGTTTTTTGGTTCCCCATTCTTCCAGGCATTTTTTTTCCTTTTGGTATTCCTTGATTAGTACCTCGACCACCGCCCATGGAACCAATCAGACGATGCGGATAACCACCACCATGGGTCATACGCCCCCTTGAAAATCCGTATTTTTTGATTACTCCAGCCGTTCCTTTACCTTTAGAAGTACCAGTGATTTTAATTTTGTCTCCTTCCTGAAAAGAAGAACAATCAACCAGCGAACCAACTTCCAGTCCAGTCATATTTCTTATTTCTCGTAAATGTTTTTCAAAAGTAATTTGACAAGAATTATATCCTTCTTTTTCTTCGGTTTTGACTTGCGAAACTATATTATTACTAACCTTTATTGGAGTAACCGGCCGTAATTCACCGCTTATTACTGGTAGTTGAGTCATACCCATTTTTTTTCCAAGAATACCAATTATTTCCATTATAATATAATTTTATTCTTTCCCATAAAGCATTTATTCCGAGGAACAGATTTTTTAGGAACCCATAAAGTTTTTTTGGATTCCATGGACGCTTCACCCAATGACCTTAATTTTGTTTTTTACATTCCAGAAAGCAAATTTGATTTTCTCTTTTCGTAACCCTGTTGGTTAACTACTACTAATTATAGTGAGTTTTTTGTTTTTTTAAAATACTCTTATGGATAGTCCTTCCTCTGTAAAAAATTTTTCTTTATATTCTTGACTGTTAAAGAAACTTCGTAATAAATTGGTTCTTTGATATTTTTTTACTTTTCTTTCTTCTTTTTTTTATTATCAGGCTACTTCGGGAGGATTGAAACTTTGGGGTTATAAAGATGCTGAGTTCCCTTATTATATATTATTTGGAAATATCCCTATCAGTTCACGCAATGCTTTGATTATATACTCTTTTTTTTGTTTCTTTGTTGGCAATCTATTAACTGTTTTAGTCTGCGAATATCTAAAAAATTATTCTCTAGAATTGTGCCGAAATTATTTGCGAAGAATGATAATCAAGTGTAGTGAAAAAACTATTTCCCGTAGCCGTTCAGAAAAGATGGAAATTTTAAACAATTTTTTGAGTGAAGCAGAATTATTTACTCCTCTCTTCATTTTAGTTCCTCATAAAATTTTTTCTGCTGGGATAAACATTATCCTTACTATCATTTTTTTAGGTAATTTCCGTCCCGATAATTTTTCAACTTACTTCATTCTATTCGCTTCGCTAGTTATTGCATTTTTAAGTTTTCTTACTTATCGATTTCAAAGCCGAGTCAGCCAAAAAATAAATCGGTTCCGCCGGCAAGAAAATATTGCTATGGAAAAATACTTAGAAAATCAAATTGAATCTCAGAAGGTGAAAAGTTTGATTAAATCCAACTTTCAAAAAACTCGCCAATCTTTTTTAAAAAAAAGTCTCTCTTATCTACCGACCTTCATTATTCCCGGTCTAAGTATCCTTTTTTGTTTCATTTACAATATAAACAAAAATTGAAAGGTAACAGATTTTGTGTGAATAGGTTCAATCGCCACCTCTATTCAAACCATTTTTTGAAAGGTCAAAGAAATTACCGAAAACTTACCGGAGATTGGTAAAATTGAGGTTCATTACAAACCTTTACAAAAAACAATTAATAAAATTAAAAGTATAAAAAACAAATAATATGCCTATGGTCAGAAAGAGAGAAACAAATAAGTGGAATAAATAAAAATCAATCACTACTGCTTATTTATAAATAACTTAATCTACTTGAAATGTATAAAGGAAAACACGAACTACTAATTAAAAAAATTGATGAGATTAACAACTCCGACAGTCTAAACAGTCTTATTTTTAATTTTTCAAATTTAGTAAAGCAAGGCAATAAAGAATACAAGATTAACTCTGCTGAACTAAAAACTTTAATCAATAAAATTATTAAAGACCAAGACCAGTCTAGAGACATTTACGCTTCCTTTGATACTATTTACTTCAAGAATGAACCGAAAGAATTTACTGAATTTCTGCCTTTACAGCAAACTCGTTGACTATTGTTTAGAAAGGATCTGCTTTATGAGGATGCTAAAAAAAGCCTTGAAAGATACGGCAGAGGAATGTTAAGTGTTGAACGACCAAACTTAGCTTTTATTTCAGGCCTTAAAAGATGCTATCCTGATATTTTTACTTTCAAAGATGCTGATGACAAAGACATTACTGAAAAGATAATGGAGGAAATATACCAAGCGGAGAAAGCAGAAGAATTAGGAAGCAAAAATGAACTTATGGATTTGCTTCGAAAGACTGCTCATGAAATAAGTGATAAACAAACCTACGAAATAGATGGAACGAAGTATTTTTTAGCAGAGAAGGATTTAGGTTTTAAGTATTTAGAATTATTCTTTAATGATACTTGTAATTGCGAGACACCAAGTTATTATTCACATTTACAACTTACTAATAATTGTTTAGAAACCAAGGAACAAGTTATAGAGTTCAGAGATAAGGTGCTTAAAGTTATGGATGATAAAATTGAAGAACTTCGTGAGAGTGAAAAGAAAAATGGTTCTAAACCAATTTCCTTATCTGACTATGAAAAGAGTTCAGAATTAGGAGGTTTAAAAAGTAATGCTTCTAGGGAAATAAGTGATAAGTTAATGAATTTAGGTTTGAAATACTCTATTTTCATATCAGACCAAGAATT